AACGGCCTGGGCAGGCCTGGGAGTCGCGCCCAGGGGGGGAAGTGAGAAAAGGGCAAGCCTCCTCATTATAGAGAGAGGGGCAGAGGGGGGAGGGGGGGGGAGTGATGGGCCCATGTTCCACCACCACTACCATAGGTAGGACGGGGGAGAAGGGAGGATGGGCAGGTCCTCCTCCTCCTCCGCCTCCTCCTCCTCCTCCTCCGCCTCCTCCTCCGCCTCCTCCTCCTCCTACCTATGGTAGTGGTGGTGGACAATGGGCCCATCAGGGGAGGGAGAGGAGGAGGAGCGCCTCGGGAGCTCTGCGCCCCCTCCGCGGCTGCCCGCACCCCCCCCTGGCCCGCGGCCCGCGGTGGAGGCGCTCGCGGACCTGCGGGGCAGGCCAGCGGGGTCTTCTCAGAGGCCCCTGCGCATTGGAGAAGCCGCCTGTCAAGGGGGCGTGGACTAGCGACGGGTCCCGTTTCCATGGGAAATCGCGGATTCCGCCGCCGAGCGAGGCGACACCGGCCGCATGTTGGGGAGGGTACCTTCCCCCGATCCATGGATTTGGCGACGGCGCGCCAAATCCATGGATCGCTAATCCATGTTCGCGCGCCCCCGAAGAAGGCGCGAGGGCAGCCCCGCCGCCGTCTGAGAGGGCCTGCCCCCTCTCACTGCTCCCCTGAGTAGGCTCGCTGCCGATTCGCCGCAATCCTCCACAGTCCTCCTCCTGGGTGCCCGTGGGGGCGCGAAGATCATCGCGTTTCGCGCGTCGCGGCCTGGGCCGGAGAGGCTGTCCTTCTCTGAGGGGGCGTCGTTTGGACGCGAGGGCGCGAAGATGATCGCAAGTTCGATTACGTAGTCTGGGTGGCATTTCCTGGGAGGCTAGATTCTGAACCGGCGCTGGTGTATCCCTGGTCGAAAACTGGCCTAATTTGTTCAAATTCCGCTTAGTACGTAATCCTGGCTGATCTTGTTCAATCCGGCTTGACCTCAGGGTTGATCCGGCCTGATCGGGCCCAAAGGCCCTCGAAATGGCTTGAATCGTTCTGGCAGAGATCTCCCAGGAGTTGCCTCCCAACCTGGTTCCCCCCCCCGTCCCCATGCGCCCCCCGCCGCCGCCCCGGCGCGGTGCAGGCTTCCTGAGCGCGGTGCGCGCTGTCCTCACCACGGGGAGCTGGCTCTCCGCGTGCGCGCGCGCGGGGAGTGCCCTGGCGAGGCAGGAGCACTCCAGGCCTCGGGCGTCGTGGCGCAGGCTATGCCGATGTTTGTCCTCGATCTCGGCGGCCCCCCCTCCGCGGCCGTCCTCGTCTTCCTCCGCCTCCTTGGCGTCAGTCTGCAGCTTCGCCGCCCGACCTGCACTCAGGGCGCTCAAGTAGGGACCACCTTGAGCTTGGGAGGGGCCCTGCTCTGCGCGCCGCCACGTAGGCCCAGGTTCAGAGCCCCGAATCATCAGGGGTAACTCGGGTCAGGGATACCTCGGCTTCGTTTCTCGGGAATCCAAACCCGAGTTAACCCGGACCCGAGTTAACCCGGATAACTCGGGCGTCCAGAGCCCCGAATCATCAGGGGTAACTCGGGTCCGGGCTAACTCGGGTTCCTTTTTCGGGAATCCAAACCCGACTTACCCCGGACCCGAGTTACCCCGGATAACTCGGGCGTCCAGAGCCCCGAATCATCAGGGGTAACTCGGGTCCGGGCTAACTCGGGTTCCTTTTTCGGGAATCCAAACCCGACTTACCCCGGACCCGAGTTACCCCGGATAACTCGGGCGTCCAACAGGTTGGGGAAGCTATTCGTGGCCGAGGCTCGCCGTGGCCAGAAACGCCCCTTCGTTCCTTACTCAAGCAGTGGCGAAGCGTCCCGGCTCGCCTGTAGGCCCACCAAAGAATGTTCTGAGAACCGTTCGTGGTTCGCGCGAAATGGTCTTAGAAGGCTGGGATCTTTCTTGTTTTAACGCGTCGGCTTTATGTTCTAAGAACCTCTGTTTTTTTCTATGAAAAAATGGGGTTTCTAAGAAACTTGCGTGGTAGGCCTACAGGACTGCCCGGACGGTCAACCCCTGCTCATTTTACAGTGGGGCCCCATGCCAAGAAACACCTTGCTTGCTTCCAAGGTACCCTGGGTTTCTTGGGGTTCGATGGTTCTGCGATGGGAAGCGTGACGCCCTGGGATCTCAGGGTTGGAGTTCAGGTCCTGGGTTGTGTTTCTTGTGGCAGGTTTCTTGTGGTTGGGCCCCTACTGTCATTCGCCGTTCGTCATGGTCGCACGACGACTGTAGACCCTCCCGCATATTGAGCGATCGCCAGCACGGCGACATAAAGCAGCTTCGGTCTCCGCTTGCACGGGCCCGTCACTGGGCCTCGGGGCCGTCCAGCAACGGCCCGGGATGGAAATCGTATGTCTACTGGCGCTCCAGTTTAGGAGTTGTGGCGTTCACATTTGTGTCTGCGGCTTCGCTCACGTCGCTCACCGGCATGTCCCTGGCCGCTTTCATCACGGATAGTGTATTGGTTGCGGCACCATGCTGCTTTTGCTCGGCCTTCCTCATCTCGAGTGCATGTGGCAATTTGGTCATGGACGACCACACCGCGTGGTGAACCAGGGGGCGTGATGGGTCGTCACGAGCGCGGTTTGGAGACGCGAGTCGTTATCCGAGGATGTCTCGAGGAAGGGAGGCTTCCGAGGTCCCAAAACCGTGCGGTGACGGACCGCGCGGTGAGGTCCTCGGGGGTTCCGAGGTCATTACGCGTTCCGTCACCACACGGTCGTAGGTCCCCGAAGGAAAGCAAGTCCCAGGAAGGGTTCGAGAGGGTCGGCGGGCGGACGGCGACGCGGGGGGGGCCAACGAATGCCAGGGGCTCAAGGAGTGCAGGAACGTGACCCCACAAAGTGCAAGAAACGCACACGGTTCCTCGCCTTCCGTTTATTGCCCCCCCGTCAACGAACGCCCGATCATGGGCAAAGACACGACGTCGGAGGTTTGGACAGGTCAGTTGGTTGTTTTTTCCCATTGATTGCCCCCTGGCTCCTTCTCCCCCTCTCGCGGAGGCACATGGGGAGCTAAGGACGAGGATGAAGACGAGGACGAGAAGGAGCAGCAACATAATGTCGATGAGCAGGAGAAGGAGCAGTAAGAGGGGAAGGAGCAGCAATAGCTAGAGGGAGAGGAGAACATGACCTTGCGATGCACTCAGCCCTTTCTAAACATGTGGCGACTATACCCAGGATCGCTCAATACGAACGAACATGTTGCAGCCCTCCGTGCGCGGGCAGCCGCGAGGTCTCGGCTGGGTCTGCGTGGCCCCCCGTGCTGCCGTGTCCCCCAGGAGCCCACGAAAGTGGCGATGGTTTCGCATTTCGTAGGGAGCCCCGAGGTTGTGGCTAGGTCCGCGTGGCCCCCCATTCCGCCGTGCCTCCCAGGAGCCCACGAAGGTGGCGACAGTTGCGCACGTCGCAGACCCGAGTAGGCAAGGTACGAGGACGGGAACCAATGAGGCAGGAGGGGGGAGGAGGGGGAAGGAGGGGGGAGGAGGAGGAGGAGGAGGAGGAGGAGGAGGAGGAGGAGGAGGAGGAGGAGACGCGAGAGGAGCAGTGCTCTGCCCAACACAGGAACGTCGGGGAAAAACAGAAACACCGTGGTACGTAGAGGGTGAGCTGGGGAACGATCATCGAAGCCCGCATTTTCGTCATTCGCCCCTCCCCCGAGCTTCCTCCCCACGTTTCCATGTCTCCTCCTTGCTCCTCCTCACACTTCGATTGCTCCCACTGCTATTTCTGATACTGGTGGGTGGATATGTGGCTGTTGGCTGGTTTGATTATGATCGGCGGGTGGCTGGTGTGCGGGCGGTGGGTTGTGGGCGGGGAGGTCCAGAGTCGCGAGACTGATGGTTTAGATCCCACCCTTGATGCCATGAAGGCTCCTGCGCTGGGCGAGGATTGATATTGGCAGCTGAGGGCCGTCCTCTCTTCTCTGTGGCCGAGCAAGAAATCAAATGCAAAGTGCACAGACTTTCGGATGCCCTCGCGGATTCCTTGGATCGGCGTTTGACCCCCGTCCCTGGCGCGCGAAGCCCGCCACGGGCGGCGGTGGAGGCGCGGCCAGGCAGACCTTCGAGAGTTTGTGCTTATGCCGTGTGGTTGGTATTCGGCTCCTCTCCTCCCGCCTCGGCAGGGCCGCGCGACTCCTACCAGGAGCCTGGGCCGCCACGCTGGCAGAAAGGACGGCACGGTCTGAGCGCCTCGCCCCGCGCAGTCTTTTTTCGCGGCCGCCCTGCGACGACGACGACGACGACGACGACGACGACGGCAACGACGACGGCAACGACGACGGCAACGGCGACGGCGGCGACGGCGACGGCGACGGCGACGGCGACGCGGACCGACGCGCCTCGCCCCGCGCGGTCCCCGCCCCCATCGGTGTAACTGTGCCGTTTCGCATCCCGACCTCGGCCCTCCCGCGCCGTGCGACCTCTGGCGCTCCGCCGAAGTAGGGTGCCTCTCTTGGCTTGTGGCCTCCTGGTCGGCGGGTGGCTTCCCCCTTCCTTAGATGTTGGTCGTGGGGACCTTCCAGGAGCCCGCCGGACGGATCTGTTCGACCCGGGTTTGAAGAAAGGTCGATTCAAGTTCGATTCCGGTTCGGTTCAGATTCGGCTCAGGTTCGGCTCAGGGTCGAACCACTTCGACGGACGTTCGACGCAGCTTCGACGCACGAGTGGACCGAGTAGCTCCAGGAAGGTCCCCAGGATGAGTTACGACCTTCCCAGACCCACGACGTCATGATCATAGCGTCGACCTCCGGAGGTCTCGACCCATGTCCCGCGACCCGTTTTTTTATCATAGTTTTTTTGTCGGCGGTCCCGGTGGGGATCCTTCGAGGGCCTTCGCAGGCCGAAGTGAGCAACACCCACAGAGACGTCGCGATTCATTGCCACGGCGCGAGGGGGTTTCGGTGCCCTGTGGCACCTCAGAATGCCAGAGGGCACGGTGGCGGCTGGCGGGAGGCGCCTTCGAGAGGACCGATGAGCGAACACCCTTCGGTGGATCGCCCGGCACGGCGGAAACCCTAAAGCAAGCCATGTCGGGCTGATCGAGGACCCGCCCACGCGCCCCGGGAACGCGGGGTCCGATGGGTCTCTTCCTCCGTGGCCTCCTGCGCGGTCTCTTCCTCCGATGGGTCTCTTCCTCCGTTGCCTCTGGTTGGGTGGGGGAGGGGGGCGGGCCGCCCGGAGGCTCGAGGGGCTTCCAGAGCTGCACGGCGATTGGGGCGAGGTGCCCCCGGCGTTGGTGGACGCACTGCCCGAGCCGCAGCGGGAGGAGGCGCGCGCTCGGATTTCGAAGGGCAGATCGGCACGAACGAAATGAGTACGGAAAGAATGGGTACACTGCCCAATAGCAGTTCCTGTTCATTTTGAACCGGACTCGCTGTCAGTGTCGCCGCGGCCTGTGTACATTTGAGACAGAAGGCCTCCTGCCCAACAGTAGCCGCTTTTGGTTTGGGACAACATTTGTTGTTGGGCATTGTACCAATTTTTCCGTACCCATTTCGGGCGTCCAAGGCACAGGATCGAAAAGATCGCTGCCGAAGCCAAGACCGACCCCCGGATCTCCTGGGCGGGTGCTAATGGGGGGTGGCCCAAATGGAGGGTAAAGAAAAGGGCCCTAGAGGGGGAACTTGGGGCCACTTTTGAGCACCAGCTGGTTCCAAACGGGGCCCTACGGGGCTCCTTCAGGGCCCTCTTTTTCACCCCCAAGTGGGGCAACCCCCCATTACCACCCGCCCGAGTCTCCCACGATTTGTTTTGATCCGCCCGCGTTTTTTCCCCTCGACGTCCGCCCCGGGACCGCCCTCGGGCCAACAGGCCGTCAGAAGCGAAACCAGGACGAAAACACGGCCCTGGGGAAGAAAGAGCATCGGACTTCTGTGGGGCCGCGGATGAGCGCGCACGAGCCTCGACGCGGCAAAGGGTCGACAAAGATCGCTGGAGGTTCCCAGACTGGTTTCTGGTTGTCTTCGGCCCCAAACGAGCTCGAGGTTTCTGGCCAGTTTCGGCCAGTGGTCCCCAGGACCAGCTTCCCATCCCGAGTCGGTGGTTGACGGCCCCGAGGCCCGGCGAAGGCCACTCGAGGCCGAAAGTAGCGGCGACTAGATGTCCGTCGTGGCGCTTGCTGTTCAAGGCACGAGGGGGTCTGGGGAGGACGGGCGAGGGCACAGGCGGAGAATTGTTTTTCCCCCTGGCGGTGCCAGACGTGACCGCCGAAGGGGCGGGCACGTCACGATTCGAGCTGGCGCCGCCCGGGAGTGCCTTAGAATGGCGCACCCTCTTACGGCGCCGGCGCGATTCGTGACGTGACCAGGGGAACAGTCACGGGCGTTACCGCTACTATTAAGTCGGGCACGTCCCTCTACAGGAGGAATATTCGAAAATAGTCACAAAATAGCCTGGGGACGATTATTATATGATCTGTTGGCTACTTCCATGCACGTTCTGTTTGTTTTATTTCTCGTCCAAGATCCGCCTGCAGGGGGGACATGCCGACCCAACGCCAAGAACAAACACGAGCACTCTTGCGCCACACTCGCGTGCAAGCCGCCCGCGCGAGGCCGCGCGCAGGCGGCAGGCGCCCTCTCCTCCACGCGGTGTGCCGCGCCTGCTTCCCGGTTCAAGCCGTCGCGCAAGGCCGCCGCGCGGGTCCTCCTCTCGCAGAGCCGAGCTGCTCGTTTCTGCCTGCCCTCAGGGGGCCCATCATTACGTCGGGCGTGTCCCTCTAAGGAGGCATATTCAAAAATAGTCACTTGTTCACTGCGTGGAGCTCCCCATATGTGCATCTGAGTCAGCATGGACCTGTCCGCCGTGAGTGTCCAGGCACAACAGTTTTCGAATACAAACGGGCTCGAGTACTGGCGGTCTGGGAACGAATCTAACTGGGTGGAAACGGGTTGAAGTGTGAATGAGTCTCAGTGGGGCTCCCTGTGGCCTCCTGGAGCCTCTTTGGGCCTCCTGTGGCCTCTTGGGGCTTCCTGTGGCATCCTGAGGCCTCCTGGAGCCTCGTGTGGCCTCCTGGGGCCTCCAGGAGCCTCCTGGAGCCTCCTGGGGAGGATCCGTGCCCCAGGAGAGGCCCGATCTATAGGAACAGACGTGAAAGACTTTGTATTGGAGCCACACGAGAGCCTTCTGCTCATGGGGCCTCCTGGGGCCTCCTGGTGCCCTCCAGGGCCTCCTGGTGCCTCCTGGTGCTTCCTGTGGCTTCCTGGGTTCTCCTGTGGCCTCCTGTGGCCTCCCGGAGTATCCTGGAGCCTCCAGGAGATCGAGACATCCTCAAATTCTGGCGCCGCGCGCCTCGCTCGCGACATCCTCCAAATCTGCTCCGAAAGCGGAGGATATTGGGCATACACAGGCAAACACCGCTCGATGCATCCCCGCCATTTTGGCGCGAACAGAAGCCGTGCAATACCCCCTGGCGGCTCCCCCTTGGGGGGTGGTGAAACCCGCGCCTCGCTCGAGACATCCCAAGGATCTGCTCTGAGCGCAGACGAGCCTGGCCCCAAAAACACGCAAACAGCTCGAGACATCCTCGCCAGTTGGTCCCCTGGGGTGCGAAAGCCAGCGCCTCGCACGAGACATCATTTTTCATCAGCATCACTCATCATCTACATCATCATCGTCGTCATCAAACTCTTATCGCAACCCCTCGGCATCATCATCTACAGGAGGGAAAATTCAAAAATGCCACAAGATAGTCGGGGGACGATTATTCGACTCTTTTGGGGTGTTGTGAATCTTGTTTGACATGCCCGACCTAAGCCCATCGCCGACACATCGGTGATGCATCGCCGATTCCGGCTCGACGTCCCCCCCGCCGCGCCGCTTCCCTCTTTATCGCTGCCCCGCACGAGGGCAGAGCTGGTCGGCGGTTCAAACATGGGGTCCCGAGGAGCGGGGCCCCGAGGGATGGGAAGGGAGATCCAGGGCTGGGTTTACACTGTTTGAAGCGCCTCGTCTTGAGCACCCCCCCTTTGCACCTCGTCCTCAGAGGGGCGCAGGCCGACGACCAGGCGCGCACGCCGACGACGGATGGACCCCACGTGGGGTCCCACGCCAGAGGCCACTCCCAGCGAATAGCCTCGGCTGGCTGTTAGGATTCGGTTTCCACTGTTTGAGGCCCCTCAGGACCCCATCTTTTTGGCGGCGAGCGAGGGAGGGAAGTGAGAAAGGGCGGGCCTCCCCAGAAGGCTCGGAAGTCCTGAGAAGTTTCCGAAGCCTTCCCCGAAGGCACCGCAAGCCTTCCAGAAGGCACGATGGGGGCTTCCCCCCCTCGCTCGCCGCCGATCTTTGGACCGCCGAGGGCTGGGACTGCCGAGGGCTGCTCGCTGCTGCCTGCCCGATCGGGGGGGGGGCGGCCGCCTTCCAGGCCCGGGCGCGGCGCCTGCTCCACGATGAGGAGGCCGCGCGGGACTTCGCCGCCGCCCCGGCCTCAGCTCGCGGTCAAGGGGGGCGGGCGGAGGGTCGCGGGCGACCTGTCGGCCCCAACGCCCAGTGGGCAGGTGGAGGAGGGGAAGGAGGAGGAGGAGCAGGAGGAGGGGGAGGGGGAGGGCGGGGGGGGAAGGAGGAGGAGCAAGAGGAAGAGAAGGGACCGGGCGCCAGGGGAAGAGGAGGAGGAGGAGGAGCAGGAGGAGGAGGTTGAGGGAAAGGAGGGGAAGGAGGAGGAGGAGGAGGAGGAACAGATACCCATGCCGCTACCCTTCCCTTCGTTGTCGCCCCTGGTTGGGCCTCCTGGGAGGCCCTCGTCGCCACCGCCAGATTCGCTCGAAACTCTGGTCAGAACGCGCCTTGGGAGAGGTCCTGGGAGTCGCGGTATCGGTACCTTGTCTGGCGTCTCCACAGGAGGAGGGGGAAGAGTAGGGCATGTGTGGGGGGGGTAACCTTGTTTGTGCCCACTCTGTCAGGCCATCCTGGCTAAGCTCCCTTGTGAGCCTCTCCAGGTTCTACTTTGTTTCGTCTCTCTTTTCACCTTCAGGCAGTCTGTCACACCATATGTTTTATGAGTTGCAGTTGGTTCGCTCGGGCTTTGTTTCTCGCTTACTTGATTACGGGCTCCGCACAAAGTCTGCCGACCGCGACAAAAACAGGTAGGATACGTGTGGGCTGCAGCGCGCGCAGTTCCAGGAGCTCGGCGTGTCCTTCGAGGTGATCGAGAGCGCTTGCGAGCACATGTGTGACACAAATGAGCAGTACGCCGCTGCGCTGTGGGACGAGGAGGCTGCGCGGGACTTCACTGGCGCCGCAGGCGACGCCTCGTCCCTGTTGGGCTTGCCGCGCTGTCTCACGGCGCGGGTGGCCTTGGGTCCAGGGCGGCGACGCTTGCCGTGGCCGCCACAAAGGATGGGCGTTTCGGTCCCCCGCGGGCTGTCCCTGTCTGGGCCCCGCTGGCCTCGAGTGTGTTTTTTTTTCGGGCCATCATCCCCATCCCCCCTCCCCGAGCCTCGCTGGCCTCGAGCGCTGTTCGGGCCATCCTCCCCTCCCCCCCACCCCCCCGCCCCCCCCCCGCAGGAGGAGGAGGAGGAGGAGGAGGAGGAGGTGGGAGGAGGAGGAGGAGGAGGAGGAAGAGGAGGATGAGGAGGAGGAGGAGATGGAGGAGGCGGCAGGAGGAGGTGGGAGGAGAAGGAGAACGAGGAGGAGGAGGAGTTGGAAAGAGGAGGAGGTGGAAAGAGGAGGTGGATTGTGGCCGAGGTTTGAGCTGGGAGGAGGAGGAGGGAGGTGGGAGAGATGGGAGGTGGGAGGAGGGAGGAGGGAGAACGGAAGGGGGGGAGAGCCCGCGCGGGAGGCGGCTGCCGGGCCACAGTTGCGAGTGGCAGCGATGCAGGAGACACGTACCCAAACCTGCACGGGTTCCCCCGGGGCCGTAGGCGACCCGAGGAGGAGGAGGAGGAGGAGGAGGAGGAGGAGGAGGAGGAGGAGGAGGAGGAGGTGGAGGTGGAGGAAGGGGAGGGGGAGGGGGAGGGAGAGATGGAGGATCTGGACGCCCGAAATGGGTACTGAAAGAATGGGTACTATGCCCAACAGCAGTTCCTGTTCATTTTGAACAAGATCCGCTGTCCACGCCGCCGCGGCCTGTGTCCATTCGAGACAGGAGGCCGCCCGCCCAACAGCGGCCGCTGTTGGTTTGGGACAGCATTTGCTGTTGGGCATGGTGCCCATTCTTTCGGTACCCATTTCGGGTGTCCAAAGAGGAGGAGGAGGATGAGGAGGAGGAGGAGGAGGAGGAGGAGGACGGGTCGCCTAAGCCCTTCGGAGAAACCCTCCACCCAAACTTTCAGCGAATGGACGTTTTCGTCGAGTGCAGCCTCTGGGGGCCCTCCGTCATCGCTGGCAACATGGAAACGCACAGTCGCCTCAGAGCGCCACGTGGGCGTGCGCACCTGTCCCCACGGGCGGGTGCGGCCATACCCGGATTTGCCCCGTCGAGACCGTTTCTGGCATTTTTCCCCTATCAGTGTTTGTACTGAAGGGGTCCTAGCGGAAATTGAAAGATTTGGCGAAAGTGTCCCGCCGATTTTGGTGGCCGGCTGGGTTCCAGGATTCTTGGTTCCGGGTTCCCGGGTTCTTGGTCATTAGTTCCGGGCCGATTTCGGTGGTTCCCGAGTTCCCGGGTTCCCGGTCGATCTCTTTGTCGGTCAAACTATCCATTGATTGGATTTTTTTGTGTAATGTTTGTTTTTGCAGGCGCAAGCGTCGGTTGCGAGTTTTCGGCACCGCTACAGTGCTGCGCGCGCGGTTGCCGAGCGATTCTCAAAAAATCTCGCCGTTCAGACCTGAGCGGGCCCTGGAAACGACGGGTCCGGGTTTGTTGCCGATTCCGGATGGCAGGTTCGTGTTTTCAGTTCTTTGTTTCTGTTGTTTCAGTTCTGTCGCCGTTGTTTGTTGAGTTTGGTTCAGATTCTTTCGCCGTTTGTTTTTCATTTCGGTGATCTTGTTTCTGCGCTTTTCATACTGAAGGGTAACATTTTCGGAAACATTCGAAAATATTCCGCCGACTCCATGGTCCAGCAAGGTTAAAAAAGGAAGTTCGGGAATACACCTCCAGGGAGCCATTCGAATGCCCTCCATATTGATGATGGGCGCCCCCATTGTGCATTTCCGAGTTGAGCCCCAGACGAAAACATCACAAAGTCCGGGAGTGGGGTCGCCGTGCCCCACGCCAGAGGAGGAGGGAGAAGGATTCGCAGCAAGCATGATGTTTGACGCTTCGCTGTCCCCCACCAGCCCGCCAGAAATGATACACGTGGAAGCTGTCTGGAGGGGGGACGCAGGTCGGCACACAATCCGACGATCCTAACAATGAGGCTACAGTTGTCTCGCTTCGTGTGGGCCCCAGGAATAAACTGCAACCCTTCACTGTAAAGTTGCAGGTGCCCCAGGAGCTCTGCACTAGAAGTCTGCAGGTGTCAGTGAAAATCGTTATCGCGCCTCTCTCGTTTGTTCTCTCTCTCTCTCTCTCTCGTTTTCTCTCTTTCTCTCTTTCTCTGTCTCTCTCTCTCTTTGGTCTCTCTCTCTTGATTTACGTATTGTTCTGGGTTATCTCCTCTCTCTCTCTCTCTTTCTCTGTCTCTCTCTTATGTCTCTCTCTCTATATATATATATACGCATATATACACATTTATCCCCCATTGTTTTGTTATTTGTTTTTATTATATATCCCTCTGTTTCAGCCTTGCTCGCTTTCTCTCTCGCTCGATCTCTCTCTCTCTCTCTCACTCTCTCTTTGTTTCTCTCTCTCTCTCTCGCTCTCTTTCTAAGATCCCCCATATCGAGTACTCATATCTTATACATATAACGGCGCACCGGGTCCGGGGGCCCGGGGCCGGGACCCCGACCACAAATGTGGGCCCCGGGGGGCCCGGAGGCTCGTCGGACTGCCGGACGCCGTCCAAGATCGCTCGCAGGCGGCTTCGGAACGCGCTCCGATGGCTCCAGATGCCTTCCAAGACGCCTGTCATGACACCAAGAAGGTCCCAGAAGCCTCCAAGACGCTCCGAGAGGCAGCCCAAGAGAGGCCCAAGAAGCAAAAATCGTGCCATTCCGATGGGAAAACGTATATTTTTCGCATGTTCGCCTCTTGGGCTTTCACCGGTCCAAGACGGCCCAAGAGGCGCCCAAGACGGTCTACGAGGCCTCCGGGAGCGCTCCAAGGCTGCGCATGAGTGGCCCAGGACGGCCCCAAGACGGCCGAAGAGAGCCCCAAGACGAGTTCGAGAGGGGTCCCAGACGGAGAAAGCCAACCTCGAATTCCGAGCCAGGAGGCGCCAAAATGCCGCCAAGAGGCGCCAAAAGCCTCCCAAAAGCACCCCAAGACGTTCCGAGAGGCACCCCAAGGGAGGTCCAAGAAACAAAAATCGTGCCATTCCGATGGGAAAACGTATATTTTTCGCATGTTCGCATCTTGGGCTTTCACCGCGTCCAACACGGCCCAAGAGGCCTCCAAGACGGCCTAGGAGGCCTCCAGGAGCGCTCCAAGGCTGCGCACGAGTGGCTCAGGACGGCCCCAAGACGGCCCAAGAGAACCCCAAGACGAGTTCGAGAGGGGTCCCAGAAGGAGAAAGCCACTCTCGAATTCCGAGCTTCTGGCCCAACATATCCCAGGAGGCGCCAAAACGCCGCCCAAAGGCGCCAAAAGGCTTCCAAAATCAGCCCAAGACGTTCCGAGAGGCACCCCAAGAGAGGTCCAAGAAACAAAAATCATGCCATTCCTATGGGACAACGTATATTTTTCGCATGTTCGCATCTTGGGCTTTCACCGCGTCCAAGAGGCCCAAGAGGCCTCCAAGACCGCCCCAAGACGGCCCAAGAAGCTTCCAAGAGGCCCCAGGACAGCCCAAGAGGGCCCCAAGACGGCCCAAGAGGCGCCCAAGATGGCCCAAGAGGGCCCCAAGACGGGCCCAAGAGGGGGCCCAGAGGGGGACCACGAACCGCAAGCTCGAGCCTTCCGCCCCAAGAGGCCGCCAGGAGGCCCCAAGGAGGCCCCTCAAGAGGCCCCAGGAGACCCCCAAGAGGCCCAAAGGAGGCCCCGAGAAGCCCCAAATCGGCCCCCAAAATGCTTCGAACCTACTTCCAGGAGGCCCCCGACAGGTTCAGAGGCTCCCGAGAAGCTACGTCAAACTCCCAGCGAGCGGCCGGACGAGGCCCCCCACACTAAATCACAAGAGGGTTCCAGTATTTGTATCCTTCAGCGCTCTCTGGCCTTCTTCCCCCTGCCCCCTTCCCTGCGACTTTCGTTGACTCAAGCTCGCCTCCTAGCTAGAACCTAAGCGCGCGCGAAGCGCGCGCGTGGTTCTAGTTCTTATATATGTATGTGTGTAAATGTGTGTATATATATTATATATGTGTATGTCTATATGTCTCTCTCTCTCTCTCGCTCTTTCTCACTCGCTCTCTCTCTCTCTCTCGCTATCCCCTTCTCTCTCTCTCTCTCTTCCTCTGTGTGTCGTTATGTATTGTTTTCTATATACAGAAAGAGACGTAGGTTTATACACACACATGTATATATAGATATGTGTACACACCGGTACACATAATGTAAATGTAAATTATATGTGTCCCTATCGTTTCGTTCGTTACATCCTCTCTCGTTATCTCTCTCTCGCTCTCTCTCTCTCTCTCTCTCTCGTTCTCCCTCTTTCACTCTCTGGTTTCCCTCTCTCTTTATGTGTGTGTTTCTGTGTGTTGTGCCTCTCTCTCTCTCTCTCTTTTTTTTTCTCTCTCTCTCTCTCTCTCTCTTTCTCTCTCTCCCCCCCCTCCCTCCCTCCCTTCCCCTCTCTATATGTATATATACATGCATGTATATACGTATCTCTTTCCCGCCCTCGCAATTTCTCGATTTCTCCACCTCCCCCGCCGCTTTCTCTCGCTCCCTGATGTTCTCTGTGTGTCGTTCTCGGGCTGTCGGGAGGGCATAATCGCTGCCGCGGCTGAACTTGGTCGGACAAGTTAGGTCGGGAGTGTGGGGCCTCAACATGGCGTCATATCTCTCTCTCTCTCTCTCTTTCTCGTTGTCTCGTTATCCTTCTCGCTCTCTCTGTTTTTTGCTAAACAACCTTGTTCCCCATAACTCTGAATACGTGTATGCAAATATGTGTATATAGCTCTCGCTCTCTCTCTCAGTCTCTCTCTCTCTCTTGCGTTTTCTCTCTCTCTCTCTCTCTCTCCCTCTCCCCCCTCCCTTCCCTCCCTAGTTGTATATCTACATATATACGGGTGTGTATATATGCATGTGTGTATGTAGGTAGGTAGGTAGGTAGGTAGTTGCAGCCCTCTCTTTCTCCATATCTCGCTCTCTCTCTCTCTCTCTCTCTCTCCCTCTCTTTAGGTCACTATGGCCCTACCTTTTGTTTCGAACTCTCCCTCTCTCTATCTCTCGTTCGTTGACTGTTGTTTTTTGTTTGTTGTTTTCTCTCTCTCTCTCTTTTTTCTCTCTCTCTCTCTATCCCCCTTTGTTTGTCTTTCGCAGTATCTCACTCTCTCGCTCTCTCTGTCCCCTCTCCCTCTCTCTCTCTCCCTCTCTGTCGCTCTCGCCCTCTTTATCAATATCTCTCTCTCTCTCTCGTTCTCTTCCCCGTCTCCTTTTCTCATTCGCTCTCCTCGTTCTCTCTCTCTCTCTGTATATGTATGTGTACGTATGTGTGTATGTACGCACGCATGTATGTTTGTATGTATGCTTTCACGTAGGTATGTATGCATGCATGTGTGTATGGATGTATGTATGTGTGTTTGTTGTGAATGAATGCATGTATGTTTGCATGTATGCATGTAAGCGTGTGTATGTATGTATGCATGTATGGATCGGTACTCTCTCTCTCTCTCCTTCTCTGTGTTTTTTCCTCTCTCTCTATATATATACTATGTATATGTGTCTCTCAGTCTCTCTATGTGTTTAAGTATATATTCATCTCTCTCTCTCTCTCTCGCTTCAACTTTCCCTCTTTGTCTCTCTCCCTCTCTCTCTCTCTCTCGCCCGAGGGAATACCATGCCATGCAAGACGACACGGGCCGAACCTTAGACCTTTTGTGACGGGCTGCATGGGGGTCTAAAGCTTAGCCCCTTAGCCTCTCTATTTGGAGCGCTGGATTAGTGCAGCGGGGTGCAAATGGCGGCATTGTAAAGTAATCAAATGTTCAATGCACTCCGGCGGGGTGTTTCTAGGAGCCATCGTGGAGATTTGTGGAGTCTTCTTAGGGTTGTGTTAGGGCCTTCATGGGGGACCCTGGAGGGCCTCTTGGGGCCATTTTGGCAGCCCTCGATCAAAAGAGGGGGTCACTTTTGGCCGCCCCCCCTCGGGGGCAGATGATTAACCTCTTGGGACTGTCTTGGAAGTCTTTCGCGGCTCTCTTGGGCCAGCATGGGACCTCAGAGGTCCGTCGGAAGCGAAAATGCGAGAAGGCAACATTAATCTATGTTCTGTTTTGAAGGTTGTGGGACGAGCTTGGCCGCTAGGCGGTTCCATGGTAGGTGACGTGGCCATTTGGAGCCGTCTTGGGGCCCTCGTGTGACCTCACGCAGGTACGTCGGAAGCTACCCTGAAGAACCATAGTGGGCCATTTTGAAGGGCACTTTGGCGCATCGGACGAGGGGGGACGAGGAGGCGGTGGCGGCCAGGCCAGCGGCGCAGCGGAGAGAAAGTCAGGCCCCAATTCTACAGGAGGGCTTGGGAAATCAGCCATCTTTGGTTCGATGCGCCGGGGTCCCTGAGAACTGGCACAGTCGAACACGCCATATGGGCAAGTAAGTTTCCAAGGGGGGGGCCCTTGCGTCCTTGCCTCTTGGGCAGTTCCTTCGCCTTCTTGGCCCGTCCAGCGCTACGCGAAAAATTCAGCCTGGCCGTCTGAGGCCCCTGCGTCCTTACCGCGCGTCCTTGCGTTTGTCCGACCGCACTGCCCCGCAAGGAGCGGAATTCACAGAATTCGCGTGGCGGGGGGCAACCCTAAACGATTGCGTTCAGCGTCAGGGCGCACCACGCCTCTCAGTGCGGCCAGGGGCAGTGCGGAGCAGCAGGCGCGCCGGGTTTCCTGCGGGCACGGTCCGGAGGTGGAGGTCCGTTCGTTTTTCTTGGATCGGTGTTGGACCCTTCTGGCGGCGCTGGGGGCGCCGCCCCCCGGCGCGCGGGGTCCCCCACGCGAAAACGCCCACTGAGGCCGCGAAGACGCCCCCCACGCGAAGGCGCGAAGACCCCCTCTGTGGGGCACCATCCACGTGGAGGGGTGCGCCGAGATGGACGGGGGGAGGCCGTGTGGATTTGCCCACTGGTGCTGTAGGTGGAGTTCCCCGCAGGGCACGATCCGCGTGAGCTGCGCGCCGATGAGGGCGTGGGGGGGGGGTCATGTAGGGAGCGAAGTGTGCGCCGAAGTGGACGGGGAATTGCCATGCAAAATTGCCCACTGGTGCTGTAGGCGGAGCTCGCCGTGGTGCACGCAGCGTGTGAGGGGGTGTGCTGAAGTCGGCGGGCCGAGGGGGGGGGGGCGGCAATCGAACGTTGTATCCTGAGTGGGGCGTAGGTGGAGCTCCTTGTGGGGCACGGTCCGCGAGAGGGTCGTGCCGAAATGGGCGGAAGGGGCATGCCAACGTTGTCTCTGGTAGGTGGAGCTCCTTCTTGGGCACGACTTGTGCGAGGGAGTGCCGAAATGGTTGGAGGGGGCGACATGCGAACGTTGTGTCTTGGGCCGTAGGCGGAGCTCCGTGTGTGTGGGCAACGAAGCGTGTGAGGGGTGTGCCGAAATGGGCGGGGCAGAAACGGAGGAGGGAGATTCGGAAAGGATAGGGGAGAAGCGTTGCGCTGCGTATTCAGAGCAAGAGCCCGACACGAGGGTCAGGAACAGCAAAGTCACGACACACATCCAGCTGCTACAAGCGCAGTGGCGGATACAGGAACATCCCTCATCACACTGCACATGTTGTTGCACCGCCTAGACTGCATCACAGCACGCATGTTGGACCATACATTTAGTGCACAGCGTGATCTGCGCAATCCGAGGACATGCTGGACCTATATTTGGGGGCGCACGCTGGCTGGGATATGACGATGATAGGTGATTGGGGCCATCCGCGGCGCCACTTGGGAGTCTCCCGCGGCCTCTTGAGACCTTATTCTGGCTTCTTGCGGCGATATCAGAGCCAGCGTTGACCATCCTGGGTCCTCCTGGCTCGTGCTGGGGCATCTTTGTTGGGCCATGTTTGAACCACCGTGGCGCCACTTGAGGCCACCGCCGGGGCCCGCGGACACGGCGTGGACGGGGGAGGGCGGAGGTGGGGGGGGGGGCGGTTCGCGTGCACCGAAGTGGGCGTCCAGGCTCTTTTCAGGCGATCGCAAGCATGGATCAACAGGGGGCGTGGATTAGCGACGGGTCCCGTTTCCACGGGAAATCCGCCGCCGAACGAGGCGGCACCGGCGGATTTTTGGAGAGGGCACCTCCGCGCGCCAAATCCACGGATCGCTAGTCCATGTTTGCGCTCCCCCGATTTTTGAACAGTTGACAACCCCCGCTCGTGTGGTGATGCTCGTTGACGGCTTTACGCGCACGGCACGGCAGAAGGCGTTCCAGGTGGGGCCCTGCCTTCGGCGCGCCCTGGCGGAAGGCCAGGAGGAGCCGGCCGAAGTGAAAGGGGGGCAGACCCGCCGGCGGAAGGCGGCGGGAGCACTCTTGAAGGACATTCTCCCCGGGCAGCTCGTGGAGAGCTAAGAGGGTGTCAGATGGAGAAGTCGGAGCCGCAGGGTAGCCCAGGAGAGCGTTCCGGCGTCGGTCCACACCTCGGCGTTGTTTGCTTGAGCTTGCAGCGTGTTCCGGCAGATTTGTTTCCAAGCGTTTCCCAATACACGTGCCCAGAAGTTCTCCAGAAGGTCCTTCGGAAGATTGAGACGCCAACATTGTTGGATCAAGGGCTTCTGGCATCGGCCATGTGGGTGGAATGGCAGGGGCAGCTCAGTACGAAGCATGCCGAACGAGAGAGATGATGCGCGCCACGACGGTGACGGGCGTTATACAAGAGAGGCAAGGCATGCGCAGTCGCTTCAGATACGCGCTACGACGGACATGAAGCCAAGAAATTCGGAATTTGCTGAACATAGCTTGCTTCATGTGACTTTGGCAGAAGAGGTCCGCGTGACTCTCATTGCACGCTCGTGTGCATGCTTCGATGTGGACACGAATATGCGCACAGTGTTCCACAAATGCTTATCGCGTGCATCTCCTTCGCCCCACCAAGGCCGCGGAAGAAGATCGGGGGGCGACGGACGAGGTCTGATCTTATTATGGGCAAGTTGGTAAGCGGGCGAGCAGAACTTTAGCAGCACGGCGAGTAAAGTTGATCGCTTACACCGCTTGCTCAACATTCGCGTGAATCCTACGTCTCCACCTCACGGACGAATGCACCGAAGATGGAGACGTAGGAGTTTGTTGTAGCAGTTGTCTTTTTGCGTGCCCAGGCGTCAGTTTCATGACGAGTGGCGTGTTGCTGTGCGAATTCAAACGAGAATTGGTCGGAACTCCTCCCACAGATCCCCACGCCCCATGCCCCCAACCCTCCGCAGCACCACTGCCTGTCTCCCCTGCCCCTGAACCACCATGGAAGGTTTGGCTTGGCCTTGGTCTTTATGATTTCCGACAAAGTTGAAGTGATATTCACAGCGGCCCAGCGGCATCACTAGGGGTCTAACGTCACACCTGTGCAGATTTGCATATCGAGTTTTCTGCGATGGCGCCCCACGCGCGAGGGGGATACCCGCGGCGGCGTGAACGGGTGTTTCAAATGATGACGTTGCTACGTGAGGCGCGAGGTTCAACGCGAGGTTCAAAAGGAGAGAAGGAGGAGGACGAGGACGGGGAGGCCCGCCAATTCTGCTTGGGCGCAGCACCGTGTCACCTCTTGTCTTGTTCGATTGCCAGCTGCGGTATTGGTTTAGTGGAAGTCCAGGGCAGGCCAGTAGGCTTCGTCTAGGGCTTTGTGGAGTAGGGCAAGCGAGGAGAGGGAGGGTCTGGAGGGACGGGAGGAAGGACTTGGGAGGGGAGGGGTGTGAGGGGAATGATTCTCGCCATCTATGTCTCCCTTATGGCCACCATCTGTTCCCGAGCGCTCCCTCTGGGCCGCTCCGTGGATTTCCACCGAACACCCCTGGCAGCACCGGCGGAGGCGCCCGCGTCCACAGCTTGCTCTCCTAGTGACAGCGGGCTTCTTCCTGGCGGAGAGGACGGGAGAGTGAAGGGGCGCGGGGCGGCGATGGCGTGCTGGCGACGCTGGCGAAGGCGTTCAAGGTCGAACTCCGCATGATAGACCGACAGGAGCACGGAGGGGCACGGTAATGCCACAGGACCCGACGGAATTCAACCTTGAACTATCGGGGTCGCGATCGATTCAAGGTTGAACTGTCGACGCGGTGTCGAAACCCTTTGCGCGCGCCGACGCTGCGCGAACCTACCAGGCAGAGTGGGAAGGGCAGGGAGAGGCCGGGCGAGGCGCCCCGCGAGTGGGGCGCGAGCCCACGGATCGGCCCCCGCGGGGACACCCGGCGTTGGCCTTCCGCCTGGGTGAGCTTTGGGCGCGGATTCGGCGCAAAGATCCGCATCTTCTTCTTTCTCCTCCTCCTCTTTCTCCTCCTCTTTCTCCTCCTCTTTCTCCTCCTTCTCCTCCTCCTCCTTTTCCTCCTCCTCCTCCTCCACATCCTCGTCCCTCCTTGTCGCCCTCCTGCAGCTGCTGCTCCTCCTCCTCCTCCTCCTCCTCCTCCAGTACTTCCCCTTCAAGTGAAGAATTGGGCGCGCGCACTTGGCAGGGGCGCAGCGCGCCAGAGCCACAGGTACGGAGGTACGGCCGCCCGCCGCGGGAGGGCGGCTATTTGACGATGGCTCTCCGCCTTTACATCGAACACGGCCTCCTCGGCTTCGACCTGGGCGAGAGGCTGCAGGGGTTCACCGCAGGATGCCGCACGGCCGACCCCATCGCGTGCGTCGATCCGCGAAGGTTGGGGAGCGCTCCGAGGACGTTGTCCGGTATATGATTTGCAAGGTAACCCTCTTCAAGAAGGGGTTGCAGGAGTGATTCAAGCAGCAGTGATTGGCGGTGGAAGCGGAGGTGGAGCATCAACAGAGCAGGAGCAACAATTCGACGACAGCAAGCAGCAGCAGGTGCAGAATTGTTTCATCGGGGATGCGAACGGCGACAGCTGTGGCGGCAAAAGTGGTCATTCCTCCTTGGCGGCGGCCCCACAAGGTCGCGAAGCTGTCGGCATGCACGTATTGAACGAGTTGGGCAGCGGCGACAGCCACACTGGCGCGGAGAACAGCGAGCCCGATCAGGCCTCGGGGACTTACGCGTAGTTTATAAAGGACCCAGGCGAGGAGTTCACGCATGGCGTAGGCCTTTTCTCGAGCGACTACTTGCAGGAGTCCGAGCAGTAAGTCCATGTTCGGAAACGACAGTACAGGCCCCACTCAATCCGGGATCTTGCTCAAGTATGATGGGAAGAAGTGGCACGGGCTCATCAAGCCTCACTTCGGCGGCGACAACGTGTTCGTGGACTTGACACACAGTGGAGCTACTGTGACGGCTATTTCTCCAGGTTCGAACGCGGGGTACTATTCGGAGTGGGATGCGGTCAAAAGGAAGCATAAGGGAGTGCGAATCCTTGCCGTCGTGGGCGATGAGCCCGACGACAACGGCCAAGGGTATGGCGAGTCGCCCGTGACACAGCTCAGGGTTCCTGGCCCGCAGGAGATGGAGTTGTCGATGGTTACGGCATCCACGAACACACAACCAGCCACTGTCATCCAAAATTGTCGCGCCTCCCGGCGCCTCTTCGAGGTCAGCAGCAAACTCGTACGAAAGATATTTGTTCATGGAAGTGTTGTCCAAAGCCCAGAAGCAGAATGGGGAGATCCATCACCACAAGTCCGACGATCAGAAGCACCTTGAGGAGAAGGGCGACGGGAAGCATGGGATGCAGCAGAAGGAGGGCAACAGTAGTTCGGACTTCACCGCCCAGGAGTACGACGCCGTTTTCGCGCAGCTGTTCGGGCAGGAGGAAGGGGCGGCCATCCCCGCGAAAGCCGCGAAGCTCTTCCCGCAAATTGGGAACGGCCCCCCGTCGCCGAGCTCCCCCGAGGCAGAGGCGGGCACGACCCAGAGGGGGGCCCCCTCCATTTCCTCACGCGTTTGGGGGCCACTCCTGCGCTTCGGGAGGCGGGTGCAACTCGGTGGCGCCGCGGCGCGGTTTGGACCCTCGAACCCAAGGGGCCCTTACCAACCGTGCCCAGGCGCCGCTGGAAGCGAGAGAGCACCCCCCTGGGTTCTTTCCAGCCAGAGGCAGAGTTGAACGGTTTAACGCAAGGCCTTCTTCTGGGCCCTTTGCATCCGGGCAAGCTTCGAGGAGCCTGGAGGCAGTCCTTGCTGTACTTTCCTGAATTGTCGCCTGCCATATTGATTAAGCTGGGAAGTGCAGACACCCGCTAACTTCCTGACAGCTTGGGTGGCCACGCAGCCACAGGCCAGACAGCCAGTGCTCCCAAACTCCTTGTGATAGGCCAAGGTGTCGGAGCTGTGCAAATCCGTGCCATTGACTGATCAAGGAAGCGAGAGAGCACGATCTGAGCTCCCTAATCGTCCAATCGCCCCCTCCGCTTCCTCCTCTTCCTCCTCTTCCTCGTCCTCCTTCTCATCCTCCTCCTCCTCCTCCTCCTCCTCCTCCTCCTCCTCCTCCTCCTCCTCCTCCTCCCCCTCCCCCTCCCCCTCCTCCTCCTTCTCCTCCTCCTCCTCTTCCTCCTCCTCGTCCTCCTCCTCCTCCTCCTCCTCCTCCTCCCTCCTCCCCTCTCCTTCTCCTTCTCCTATTCCTTCTCCTATCCATCCCCCTTCCTCGCCCCCTTTCATATCCTCCCCCCCCCCCCCCGATTTCCTCCTCTCACTCTTCCTTCGTCCGTGGGAAACTGTTGTGGTTCAAGCTTTTTGCCTGCGCGTGCACCGGAGTATCTTCAGAACGGCACACTGTTGTTATTGGTTTTTTTCTGGCCCTTCGGTTTGAGGGATCTCGACCCTCCAGCTTGTCACATGACTTCTTCGGAGCAGCTACCGCCACGCCCTCGCAGCGGGGTGGTAGGCGGTGGCGACTTTGGAGGCACAGGCGGAAGCAGGGCCTCCCGGCGGCCGTGGCACGCACCGCTTGCACAGGGCAATGGAGGGATCAGTATGGCGCCACGGAGCGAGACGCGGCTCAGCCTGGCCCCTGGTCTGCAGTCTTTTCGCGCAGACGGCTGCTACGCTCAGTCAGACTTCGAAGAAATGGACCTGCCGTTCGCGCGGTTGCCGCCGCCCCCGCCCCCCCCCAGCATTACTCCGGGAAGCGTTGCGGGGCCACGTGGAGGGAATCCTGTTCGCATCAGCCGTGGTTTTCCTCAGCAAGCATGTCGGGCGCGCTTGTCAACACGCGTATCCCTAGAAGTGAGCGCACACCCACTTCGTTTTCGATCGTGCGCCCTTGCTTTGTGTATCTTCCTCACCTGCCACGTGCTTCTAGTCCAGCCTCCAAAGCAGCGGAGAAGATGACGGGTCGAAAAGGGGGGAGAACGATGGAGGACGAGAGGAAGTAGCAGGAAGGGGGTACGAGCAGAACACACGCGGCAGAACCAGGCGGGCACACCGGGCGGGTAAACCATGGCGGGCGAGTCGGGAAGGCGGGCCCAGGCGGCAAGGTCGAACAGGCGAGTTAGGAATTCCCACGCGAGAGCGCAACTCTTGCATAAATGGTGACGAAATTCCGCGCGAGAGTGGGATTTTGAATAAGATTTGAGGAAGTATCAGGCGGGAACCATTGTCGTTGTAGCTCGGGCCCAAACAAATCAGTTTGACCAGGGAGATTTGTTCCCCTCACAAAAAATATGGTGCGAGCCCCGGGAGGTGCATTGCGATTGAAACAAACACGATGTGCAGCTGCGAGGGGGCAACAATTATTATCCCTCAGCGCTTGAACAATCCATCACAACAACAGCAGCACCAGCAACAACAACAACACCACCAACAACAGCAGCAACAACAACATCAACAACAGCAGCAGCAACAGCCGCAGCAACAGCAACAGCGACACTTACAACAACCACAACCACAACAACAACAGCATTCAACACCAACAACAACACAAACGACAACAATCTTCGTAACCGTCCCTGCTCCGAGCGGTTTTTGGCGCACGGGTGGTGAAGTCAGAGCAATTGGCCCCAGGGAGTCGCAGGGATGATTGCGCGAATAGTCCTTGCCAAATAATTTGCACCATCGCCACCGGTAGCATCGGTGACCGCTTTCAGATAGGCCACATCCAGGCAACGGCGGAAGTGTGGTTCACGAGCCTCCTCGGCGATGCGCTACCAGTGGCCATCGACGTCGCAAACTTACACATTGGTTTTTCAGGGTCTGGAAATTCGATTCTTATTGCGAGCTCCTTCGGTAGCAGGTTTAGCTTTCCTCGTGTCTTGGATCCAGCAGCAAGTTGTGTCCAGCAGGCTGGGTTTGAGAGCGTGGAGGTGGAGTTGCCGTCGCAGAAGCGTTACGTGGCTGCTGCGAGAATCATGTCGCAGTGTTTTTGCCTCCTGTTGCAGGCCATCGGGGGTGTCCGCCTTAGGCGTGCAGTCCAGTCCCTTCGCTGTCCGAGACGGGCCCGCCAGCCATGGGCCGCCTTCCCAGCACCTGCGCAGGAGATGATGCACACAGATATTGGCACGTGGTGTGTCTTACCAACCAGTGGACCCTGGCCCCTGAACCCATTGCCGCTGCGGGTTGCGCATAATTCAATCATGTTGGCTACTACATCGGAAAAGAAGAATGTACAGAGGAGTGGTGCCATCAAATCTGGAATCACTGCGCGGGCGCTGGAGCATCTCCGAGCGGTGCTCTCCCTATGGGCGCGAGGTGGGAAGTTCGCGCGGTATTCCGCCCTGCGAAAAAGCCTGGGTTCCATTGCTTTCGTGCCCGCTGTCAAGCTTAATGCGGGAATTCAAGCCCTGGCCGTGGGGGCGACTTTGATCAAGAGCCTGGCGCCGAAGTGCAATCGCGCTGATGTTGAACGAGCGGGCGCGCGGCAATTTCAAGGTCGACCACTTCGCCCTGGACGCGCCCGTGCTCGTCGACGGCCTCCTCCACGGCAGCGCGCTTGCGGACTGCGCTCGGCGCGGGCCCCCGGTGCATTTGCGACGTGCGTTGAGAAACGATGCGTTCCAAAACTGAAGCCAGACATGCACGATAGAACTAGGTGCGAGTCATGAATGATACCGTTATTTGCAGCTGTCTTACCTGATTATTGCTGGATCCGCGGGACTTGCCAACGTTTCTGATTCGCGCCATCACAACGTTATTGCTGCATATTGTTCAAAAAAGGAAGCACCGCGCGACTTCCCTCCCAGTCGGTCGAGAGAATGAATGGCAGGGATTGTATATCTGGTTGGTGCCAGGTCCACTGTGACAGTTCTGGGTGGTGGAGCGCAGTCTGCAGCGCGCCAATCTCTCGATCGCGCGCTGCAGCGAGTCCCGTTACTCCCTTCGGCTGCGAAGCCGCTTGCGATTCCGTCCGAGTTCCGACGGCAGAGAGGTCTCAGTCGTAATTTGGCGCACTTGAGCTTAGCTCAGACACGTGCGTATCCAGCGAGACGTTGGATCCGGGGGCGCATTCGCATTGTTTTCGGTAACGGCCCAACGAGGCTAACAGCCCAAGAAGCCTTTCGGAATTCTGATCTGGAACAATTACGTGCATTTGCGCCCGCTGCGCTTGGGGAAATGGCCGACCCCCCTCCGCTGGAGGCGCGCGTCGGGCTGTGGAAGTTGCCGCCGTGGCCCGCGCCGCCGCGAGCCCGGGCCAGGATCAGGTGTAGTTGGACAGAGCGCGCGCGTTCACGCCGGCTTCGCCCTCGAGTCGCACGCGACATGGAACCTCACTTGCGCGGCCGGCCAGTGGATGCGAAGTTCCCAAAGCAGCCGCCAGAATGGGCTCACCAGGAAGAGTTATTCAAGCATATACGGTCTCGTCTTCAAATATCAGCCTTGGTTCCAGACGACCGCGATGCGCAAAAATCTTGGGCGGTCAACGCCAGAGAATCGGTATCCTATCTACTGTTTCGTGCGACCCTATATGGAAGAGTCGCCAAGATCTCACGACCGAGTAAATCATTCCATGGCGTTTTGCTCGCGCGCAAGCGGGGATGCCAGATTGGCGGCGCGGGGTGCCGAGGCGAGCAGGGCGTCAGCTTCGACCGCCTGCCCACTTCTTTTTGCGAAGTCCCATTGCATTGCGGACACCGGGGGAGGCGACGCGAAAAAATCGAATCACGCATGCCTTCGCCGATTTCTCTCAGAACAGGAAACAACACATCAACACAGAGGGTTTTATTCGTTTTAGGCCGGAAAATGGCGTCGCTGAGAGGGCGCCCGGCACGGGTGCGGGGATCGGGGCGGCGTCGGCGCGTGGGGCTGGCGGTTTGCGTGGCAAGCGCGTTTAGCGGGTCGCATGTGTTCGGAGCGCGTGACGGGTGGAAAGGCCGCTCACCGGCAACTGGCAGCCCTCTGCCCGCGGGCCAGAACAAATCGTCGCGCGCTCGCAACGGGGCGCGGGAAAGGGGGCGGGGGAGAGAGCGCGAGTCTCATCCCCAAGAAGCCCCTTGGATAGGCAGCAAACAGCTGTGTTTCGATTCATCTGCCGCACGGCGAATTGAACGAACAATTGCCTCGGCGCGCAGCGTTAGCTTCGCTTGCGCGCATCCAGGCGCCCTTCCGTTGCTTCCTTCGCTTCTTTCTCGTCCTCCTTCTTTTTCCTCTTCCCCTGCGTTGCCCTGCCCCGCCCCCCCTTCCTTTCCAGCTCGGAGCTGTCGCCGCGCGCGAAGAGCGCAACCCAGAGGGCGTCGCTGCAATTCCTTGGCGCGCCACGAAGTCGCGCAATTCCTCTACGCGCGGTCTGGTTGCACTGCCGGCGCGGGGGGCGCGCGGAGGAATTTCCACGGTGTACGATCGTCTTCGCCGCCCACGCAAGAGCACGCGCGATGCCTTTGCGTGGGGCTTGCTTGCCCGCCTCGAGGA